CATATCCCGTATCCAGCCCAGGGCCTGCCTTCCATACATGCAAACAAGCGGCCTGGGCCTGGGTGCTCTTCAACCAACTGGCGCTGCGCAACTGCCTGAATTTTCCACAGTTGCGTGGTGGTGACCGAGATAGGGGCCCTCAGGCCCTCGTCGAGCCTGCCTTCACTTAGGGAGGCCGACGTGCTGCATAACAGGGCCAAAAGGGGCTCATCGGGGCCTTGGCCTCGAGTATAGGCCTGTGAGCCTCTTTTCCTCAGTATCTCTCAACCCGCTTTCGTTCCTTTTTTTCAGGTAAAGTGCTCCTAATAATAGTCGTGCCATAATAGGAATTTAGCAATACCTTTTTTTTGGTGACAGTGGGGCTTGCCCATTAGGCCTGTGCTCCACAGACTTGCATCTAGGAAATTCGTCGAAGCATATGGGGCTCCATAGGAATTTCTTTTGTTTTTGGATGTACACTGCAGCGCCCGCCCTGCCAAACAACCAACCCAAGCTCGCGTCTCACGTACAAGGACATTCCCTAAACATGGGAAACCACCATGGGGCTCGTTCTACTACCCTTGACTTTATAAAATCTCAAGGGTAGCCCTACACCCGCCCTTGAGCCTGGTCTTCATTAAAAAATCCTAGACTTCCTTCTCATTCCACTACACCCTACAGTTTACATTAAAAAAAACGAGCGGGAACATGAGTGCTGCCGGGGCTACTTCACGTGGCTCACCACGCAGGTCCATTTTTGGCCCAGGGCAACTGTAGTGGGAAAAAAAAATAAAAAAAATAAAAAAAAACGGAGGGCACTGGCACCTTTTCAAGGAAATAGTTCACGGTCGAAAAACTCGAAAAATGGGAACATGTGCGGCGCCGGCTACATCACGTGGTTCACCACGCAGGTCTGTTATTGGCCCAGGACAACTGTAGTCCGGGAGAAAAAAAAACAAAAAAACACCTCCCGTAGGACACTGCCGCCTTTTTCAAGGAAATTTAAGTCACCTCTGGGAGGTGACTCAAAAATTGGCCAGGTTGCGCATGTTTGAGTCACCTCCCAGTGGTGACTTAAATTTCCTTGAGCGACCACCCCATGGTGCCCCGGCTGTCGATGCCACTTCCATAAGGAATTGGATGAATCTTGCCCAAAGAATAGCAAACAGACAAAGGTAAATGAGAAGGAAAGAGATGGGGAGAAAGAAGGGCGGGGAGATGGGAAGAATGGATGGAAAGAATGGAAGGGAGGAAATGGGAACGGGAAAGCAATGGCAGAGAAAGGGGAAAAGACAATGAAGAAGAAAAGCGGAGAAGGGGGCACAGGAGGGAAGGAGCCGGAAACAGAAAAGCCTCTGGAAAATATGGCCTCGAAGGATACAGAGGGGCAGCAAAAGTCAAACTCGAAGAAGTCTACTAAGAAGGATTCCACCACTGATGAGGAGATGGAAGTGGATGAGGTGGAAAAAGAAAAGCGAAGTGACCCGGACGGGTCGAAGAAAGAAGATGAAGGGCAGACGAAAGGGGAAGGCAAGGATGGGGGGAGGTTTCTGAAGGAGAAAGGGAAAAGAGGTCTGAAGATGAAAGGGAATTGGAGAATTAAAAAAAAAGGAAAAGAAATTCCCAATTCAGTAGGTAATAAACGGTTCGTCATTACTGATTCTTCTAACCCCTCTAGTCCCGCGTTTTCAGTCATCGATAAGGCGGCCGCGATTGATGCTCCTCTTATCTTTGGAGGGGGAAACCCAAAAAAGATAAAAGAAAAACAAAAGAACAAGGATGCATCTTCAAACCAGGCATCAGTCAAAGGAGCCATGTCGATTCCAAATGGCTTAGCTGGGGAGAAAGACACACCGCCTCAGATGGAGGAAATATCAGGGGATGAAGATTCAGAGAAGGAAGAGGCACTGATTCGTCATCATCCGGATAACCTCGGTCTAGAGGGCATGAGAGAACCAGTAAAAGATTATTTAGAGCATGTCGTTCCAAGTTTGTTTGAGGAAGGCCAAATTCGGTTCGAAGAACTGGTGAATCTTAATCCCAGTAAGAAGGCTCGATCTAATGATGGCATTGCCATCTCTATGGGAGATCTCCAAGGAGAACCGGTGGTTCAGAAAGAACCTGAGGCTCCTCAAAACTCGGATTTCCCTAAAAAAAGGGGACACCAGGGACGGACGGCTAAGAAATTACTGATACAAGCAGGTCCAATGGCTATATTGAGGAAAATAGACAAAGAAAATGGGCAAATTTATGAATTTGTGGTCCCCTTGATTGTTGCTGACTCTTCCCAGGGACAGAACGCACTAATCAAGAGGGTCTGGTCATCCCCTTCATAGGGGTAACAGCAGTAGTATCAGACGAACGGGCCACCGATATGGCAATTACTCAGGTTCTCCACCAACAGGGTTCCTGTGTTCTGCTATCAGAGCCCCAAAGAGGGAGACACATTGCAACACGCCCAAATGGGAAAAAGACTCTCCTACACATATATTTTTTTAGCCTACAGTCGATCTCCAAGGCTTTTGCCAAACAATGCTTGGAACGAATGTTGTGGTTTCCACTACAGGAGTTCCTACTGCAGAAATGGGAATCACTGTCAAACATTCAACTAACTGAGGATCTGACAGCGAAGGAGATAGCCAGTTGGACATCCAAAACGAACGCAGGGTCTATCATAGCGGATCCTAGCTTTCGGGCAATGGTGAGCTCAATGGGCAGGGTAAACAATGGGCCCTTGGAAACAGACAACCGCATCCAAGAGACTAGCGGCACAATCCAGCCCAATGGTCCTACCCAATAGGATACGACTTGCAAGTTGGAATGTCAAAGGTCTTGGTGATACTTCAAATCAGTTTAAAAAAGTGCGGTTATCTGAGTGGTTCCACTCTGAAAATGTACAGATCATGTGCCTGCAGGAAACAAAGCTCGACCTTCGTAAGATCCAAGAAGCCCGGAACTGTTGGACAGACCCCCAATTTTGGGCCCCGTCTGACGGGACAAGAGGGGGTGTAGCAACCCTGTTACACAAAGATCTGGATTGGATCATTATGAAGATCCAGGGGGGAAATGG